CAATCAATGGTCCCATTAGGAAGGGTGAGGAACCATTTTACGGCCGGCCCCTCCAAAGTTCCTACGAAGAGGCGACATTGGATCTCGTCCTCCACGGCGCGCATCAACATGTGAGTTTGGTATGCGGCCAAATGATCATTGGGATCAATGACTCCTTTGTAACAGATTTCAGGGGCTTTCACACCCCTGGGCAGCTGAGCTTTCATCACCCTGGCAGTAAAGGGAGAAATTATCTCCACTGTGGGTCCAAAAGACCCATCTTTGTCAATCTGCCTCTTTAGTTCCTCCATTTCTTTCCTCAATTTGAGGATGTCTCTGGCATCTTCATTGCTGGGCCCCAGAATTTTCTCCAGATTCCTCAGTTCTGGGTCCCAGCCTCTAGGACGCACTTTTGCGCATCCTCTGGTGCACTGATATGAGCTCTTGGCTCTCCACCTCCTCCCCCTCTCCTTGACTCGTTTCTCTCTCGGTCCCTTGGGACCGGGCCTCTCCTTCCTTGTTGAGCCATCCGATTAACTTTCGGACTATGGGGGAGTTGGCATCGAATCTTTCTGTTGCTGCTTGAGAGTCCTTCGGATGAGAACTCTTAGGGGCTTTAGAGTGTAAACTCTGTTCACAAGATTTGTCTTGTGTTTCATGCCTGGATTGGGAGAGAGTTATTTGATGTCTGAGATCCTGAGACGATAGCTTTTCTCTCCCCTCCAAGTTGGTTCGTGCCTTAGCAGCGATTTTGTTCCTCCTGGACCGATTTTTGCCCATGGTGACCGACTTATGAATGCAGTCCTCTGTGGAAGATCGGTCCTCCTTTCTCTCTTTTTTTTTTGATGATGGACCGACGAATACAAGGAGATGGACCGCGAACTTATCTCCTTCACTTGGAGTGGACCGCGAACTTATCTCCTTCACTTGGAGTGGACCGCTGATTCTTCCCAAAGCTAGGGAGAGGCCCTCCCGAGTGAACAGGAGTGATATAGGCTCGCTATCAACTTTCTAGAAGGCTAGGAAGCTTCAATCGGTCCCACGGATGGCGCCAGTGATGGATACCCAATATTTTCCCAGGGACTGTGGATCGGCCCAGGCACAAATATAGGTATCCGGGCCTTATAATATTGAAAGATAATACGAGAATAGTAATTAATAATAATGGAAATACTGCTCACAAAATAGGAACTCAAACCGGCGGTCCTTTCCTTTATTCGGTCCACTCAGGAACGGAATATGCTTAAGGATCGCCGGAATATCTTTTATTATTACTCAAGTATTTTCTCTCTCTATTACAAGATCATCCCTCCTCTCTTAGTCCCTCTCTCTTTTATAGGCGCTCCCCATCCACTCTCTTCCTCAAATAATCGCAGTGGTTGGAGAGGATATTCATGCCAGCCTTGCTTTCTTCGGGAGGGATGTATCTCAGCTTGAAGCCATCCACAGGAGGACAAGCCTTCCGTCTATCTCTTGTTCCCTGTCCTTCGTCCGTCCCTTTCTCCTTGTCCTTGTCCCTTCAATTGAAGTGGGGACTACTCTAATCTCTTCCATAGGATTCCTTCCTTTTGGGTAGCTTCTTCCTAATGGGCTGGGCTTCAGCCCATCCTTAAGCCCCAATCCTTTTCCTTTTCCTATCTTTCCTCACGGACAACTTTCCTTGACCGCCCAGTATATTTTCTCTAGGCCGGATTCTCCTTTTGATGGACGGGATCTTGATTGGGCCTAGGCCCAATCCGCTGGTATTCTCTCGATTGGCTTGGTTCCCATCACTAGGATAGATAAAACATTCCTTAGACAAATACAACAACCCAGTGTAATCCCACGGAAGTAAGGTCTGGGGAGGGTGGGTGTACGCAGACCTTGCCCCTACTTGAAAGTAGAGAGGCTGTTTCCAAGAGACCCCCAACTTGGGCAAAACATAAAGCACAGAGCACGAAAGAAAGAGCAAGCTAAGAGTAGATAAAAGAACACAATTAACAAAACGAGGAAAAAAAGAAAAGTCACCAAGCAAGGAAAGCACACAACTGTAAAAACAAAAAGATAACTATCTTAAACCAAAAGAGCTAGAGAGACTGGCACTGAGTCCCAGAAAGCTAACCAACTACCCCAGTCCTAGATCTCCAGACCCTCCTATGTACGGTCATATCCTCAGTTAGGGCTAAACAACCTATATCTTGTCTGATCACCTCCTTCCAATTCTTCTTAGGCCTACCTCTTCCTCCACTCCCCACCCACTATCGTAATCCTCTCACACCTCCACACCAGAGCCTCAACACTTCACCGCTTCACATGCCCAAACCACCTTAACCTGACTTCCCTCAACTTATCCTCCACAGAAGCCACCCTCCCCAGACCCTACTTCACATTCATGAGACAAATGTTAGTAGAAACTCAGGGAGTCAGTGCTATAGATTCAGAGACCATAGATAGCCATGTTATTTCTTTTTGAGTAATACTAAGTACTAACTCTATCTATCATGTAATTTCTAACCGGTGGTAGAGATATAGTTTATAACTAAATGCCCCAAGTTCATGTGAAAGATACACCTCGATACCTCATTGGCCCGCAATATATATTTTATGAAACCAACTCATAACAGAAACTCAAACAATTAACTTACAGCATCTTTTGCTTGAAGCTTCTCCGCCCACCCATTCATTACATATGGATCATTGATAGATACACAGATCACTGAGTCAACTCCCTTGGCCTTAAGCTTGTCAATGTTATTCTTGTAGCTGGGCACATGTTGGGCTGAACAAACTCCGGTGTAAGCACCCTACAAGATGGCACAACAAGCTCATTAGTACTGGAGAGAGAGAGAGAGAGAGATAGAGAATCCAGTACAGATTTTTACTGCAGAAACAGATGCTTGAAATTCAAAGAATTGTAAATGCAAGTGCAACTAGGGATGGCAACGGGGAGGGGAGTAGGCGGGGGACAATACCCTGCCCCGCACAACAGAATTTTTGTACCCTCGTTGCGGGAGAAAAATTGTCCCCATCCCTGTCCCCAATGTCACCGAATATTCACAGATTTTTTTAATGAATACCGGATTTTAACAAAAGAAATATATATATTTAAAATCCTCATAAAATAGTTAAACATTCAAATAAAACAAAAATTAATGCACATAGGCCATAGCATACACTCGAAAGGACAAAAATATAATAGAAACTAAGGAATTTAGGTTTGGTCACTATGTTGATGATACGTTTGAAGTGAATTTGGAAAAAACACAAAGCTTGAGGTGTTGAATGTGTGTGTGACTGGCCAATAGTAATAACTAAGATTGATAAATAAAAGATGAGTGAGGCATCACTGCATCAGGCATTGATCCAGAGAGGATGAGTGGTTTTGTCTAAAACTCGATTGACATGAGATGCGAACATTGAAACGTGAGGCTGAAACTTAGAGAGAATGTTGTCGCGACTGAGTAGGTAAGTATGCAAGGAGACAAGGACCATGATTGATTAGACTCAAAGTGAGTATTCATGGGAGGAAGGATTTCATCATTTAGGTTTAGCTTGTGTATATGAAGCATATAACATACTAACATATATGAAATACTTAATTTACTATCGGTGCAGGGATCCCCATGAGGCGGGGAGTATGATCATCATCCAAATCCCTGAATTAATTGCAGAGGAATAACTGTCTCCATCCCCACGAGGAAAAAATCCTCAATCTCGGGGCCCGATCTTGAATTCCCCATGGGGATTTCCCATGCTATCCATCCCCATTATCATCCCTACGTGAAACCCTTCTTTCCAAACTTTATACACAAGTACATAAATGTGGAACTGTGGATACCCCAGATAAGGGGATATCCGGCCCATCGAAGAACACATCACATCCAAAGATTGAAGGCTCAATCGCAGGATTTCGAAGTGCTTCAGCTGAGCGGGTGTGCTCAGCCCAGAGGTTGCGACATCGCCCAGCCCGAGCCTGTAGTTGGAGCAGTGGAACTCAAGGCTTGTGCCTGGCCTCGTCAAGCCCAAGGCAGTTGGCAACGAGTTTTGGGTAGGTCCTAAGGCAGTGTGCCAGTTATTTGGATCCTTGGGGCCTGTGATTTGGGAACCGGCCCATGGGTAAGAAATTGATTAGTGAAGTTTGGGCTTGTGTGCCATGTACTCATACTTGTCATCTACAAATACCCCTCCTAGGCCTGTGGGGAGTGGACATGCAATCATTTTCTCTGAATTCAAGACAAGAATACAAGATTATACTCTTTCTTTCTCTAAAGTTTACTTTTTCTCTACTCGAGTCTCCAAAATCCGTCAATACTTTTTCTCTACCCGAGTCTCCAAGACCTGTCAATAAGTAAGATAACCACGTTTCTCTAAAGAAAACGAGTAGTCTGTACATTTTGAAAACTGGGGTATTGAGTTTACCTAGCAAGCCACCATCAAATAGATAGGTGAAGCAGTAATTAGAAAAAGGAAGTGACCCTATGTTTGAACGCATGTTGCATGTTTTCCTTTTTGGTGCCAATTAATCATATTCATTTCCATTTTAGAAACCATTATGAGGTTGAGACTATTTCCTCTTCTCAGCAAAAATCTCAGCGGACCTACAGTTCTCACTTTCTTGATCTCTTTCTGTGATCAAACTCAGCAACATGAATATGAATGAATGGAGTAATATTGATATTACTAAATGAGAATGTAATTCAATAAAAAAAGGATTAAGCATCCCTTAATAGGACAAATCGGGCCAATAATGTAATTAAAAGTGGCGGTGTCAGTGTGTGTTGCATGCACGTGAGTGTTATGTTCTTACAACAATTTCAAAAACAACCATTTGTAAGCATGAATCGATTTTTATTTATGCCTTATAAAATTTGTCATCTTTTTTAATTATACTCATTTTGAAATTAATATCGCATATGTACACACATTCATGATAACTAAAATTACCATCATCACCTTAATCCCAACTAATCGAGTCGGAAGCATTAATTTTATTAGGCAAAGTAGTTGTATAATATAAAGAGTAAGTTCTCAAAATGGTCCTTTCTATTAAGATATTTCCCAAACCAGTCCTCAATAAATAATAATTACCTACGTGGTACTTTATAATCAAAATTTATTCCCTAGATAGTCCTCCGTAGAAAATGTCACTTAAATGTTGATTAAGTGGTGGGTATTTTGGTATTATTCATCATCTAAACTTAGAGTAAGTTCTCAAAATGATCATTTCAAATGAAGTGTTTTTCCAAATTGGTCTTTTCAAATTAAGGAGGTGTATTTGACTCAATTTTTAAAATATATTGACAGATTTTTAATAATTCATGGAAACTGTAGAGTCAATGACTGTTTAATTTACATGAAACTGTATAGAAATGACCATTTTGAGAATTCACTTTAAGTTTAGATAATGGAAAAACCAAAATACCCTCCAATTAATCACCTTTTAAGTGAAATTTTTTACGAAGGACTGTTTAGGAAATAAATCTGAATTATAAAGTACCATGTAGGTAATTAGAACTAATTGAGGCCTAATTTGGGAAAATGCCTCATTAGAAAGAACTATTTTGGTTATTTACTCTAAAATAAAAAAACAATATAGATTCATGCAATAAAAACAATGGCAATGGCCTACGCCATATGTCCTCGCCGCAACCTTCATAATGACTAATGAAATGAAAGTTCTAAAACCATAACAATCATAGGTAATGGAATATCGTGAATTACGCCCTGCTGTTTTCTTTTTCCTTTTTACCTTTTGTCTCTCACTTTTGTATCATTCGATATTTGGTAATTTTCATGTAACTTTCATTCATTCTATCTTTTCTTACTTTTAAACATCTATATCAACCATTCAATTCCACTTTTCTTAACTTGCATGCCACTACTTCATGTTCCAAAAAAAGTCAAACAAGTGGAGTATAAAAGCATTAAATCCCATGACTCTTGGAACATAACACGTACACCCTCCGTCCCCCTATATTTGTCCACTTTCATTTTTACACACCATCCAATGCACTTCTTTAATCCATTTTATCTTGTAATTTGTATATTAAAAAATTATAAAAATTATATATTAATAATCTATATGTTAAGACAAATCAAACAAGATCACACATGACTATATTTAGACTTACACATTGAGAGAATTTGATGAGTCAAAGTGCTAAGATGAACAGTTCTAAAAGTCAAATGTGGACAAATACAGGGGGACGGAGGGAGTATATGATATGTGTGAAATAAATGTGGCTCAAAACGATTAGCTAACACATGAGGTCGTGGGAAAATCCATACCTCAAAACTAAACTACAATAGTTTTCAATAAAGCTAAAGATGGCATAAACAAATAAAGGGGCATTTTGTCTATTGAGGCATTAGGAATTTTTCCTCAAAATGGCTAGGCGCACCACTTTCCTTAATGTGCGCATATCAGAGAGAGCACATCTTTATTGGAGACTGTGCACACTGTATTAATCTAATGGTGGAAGACATTGGAAAAATCCCCAAGGGTACACAATGCAATAAAGAAGGAAATGTTTGTGAACGCTTGCATATACACCTACGTTGGTCTCATGAATATGATGAGGAGGTTTACAAATCAAAGGAATTTGCATAGGCTTGCTGGGACCAGATTTTCCACCTCTTTCATTACTCCCTCAAATCCACAAACAGAAAAACAATCTAAGAAAGAAGATCACTTCTGAAGTTTGAATTTCTAGCAAATGGTCAAAAAAGCTGTCGAGAGGAAAGTTGCTTCGATCTTGTTGCACGAGAGCTTTTGGAAAAATATCATTTTTGCTCTTAAGTTGAGTGGCCCGCTTGTTAAGGTTCTTAGAGTGGTTGGTGGAGAAAGAATGCCCCCCATGGGATACATCTAAGGTTCCATGGATAGAGCTAAGGAAACCGTTGCAAGAACCTTTGGAGAAATGGAGGAATTCTACAAGACAACATTGGAGATTATAGATAACCAGTGGAATGTCAATTACATCGACCCTTGCATGCCATGGGTCATTACTTGAACCCTGGAATCTTTTATGATAATGCACAAGCAATTACTGATTGTGAAGAAGTCATGGAGGGACTATGTTCTTGCATTCAAAGATTGGTTCCTTGCATGGTAGATCAAGATAAAGTCATAAATGAGTTGGAAGCACATTGAAATGCAGAAGGCTTGTTTGATAACCGGTGGCAGTCAAGCAAAGAAAACAGAATTCTCCTGATAAATAATTTAACTCATTCTTTTTCTCAAATTTGAAATTTGAAAATGTGAACTTATTGTTCTTTTTTTGGATTTTGTTTTTAACTTTAAACAACAGCAGATTGGTAAAATTCATTTGGATCGTCTTTCCAAAATAGAAGAAGTTTGCCATTCGAGTCATTAGCCTTACCTGTAGTGCTACGCGCTGTGAAAGAAAAAGAGGTGTTTTTCAACATGTAAGCACTAAATTTTAATCGTTGAAATTAAATTTTTTATAATGGTTATACATCGTAATATTTAAACAAAATTAGCATTAACATTTAGCAACTTCATACTAACAAGAAAAACCTTTTGGCACAAAGCCGCTGGAAAGACAGTGAATTTTAAATACAATTCATAGTTATTAATGGCGAGTGGCGGGCAAGAGGATCTTTTTTATGGCAAAATGCGTGGTGAGAGGCAGGCAGTCAAATGGCGAACATGTATGTATGCATGCATGCATGTATGTCTCTGTGTGTTGTATATATATCTGTGTGTGTGTGTGTGACTGTGTGTGTAGAAATTTACTAGCATGTGATATTATACAAAAAATTATTAATAGTGAAAATGTTCAAAGTTCACCAAAAATTAAAATGACAAAAGAGTTTTTTAGAGAGATTATATGGAAAGAGTGGACTACCATTCTACTACCAAGCAGAACACATGTGGGAGTAGGGAGTATGTTTAAATTAAATAATCACACAGCTCCGTAAATAGTACTCCGTAAAACATAGTCCGTGATTTTAAAGTCATAAAGTGAAATAAAAGCAAAAGGGGAAAGCAGCGTATACTTGTCGCAGAGATTTCCGTCAAAACTGAAGGTTCGTAGACTTGACCTAAAGTCTTTTCCGTCGATCACGAGCCTATACGATCTCAGGATCGTCGGAACTTGCCAATCCAGAATTTTCCAATCTTCCTCGCGATTCAGATCGCTATTTGATCTACACAATGCTTGAATTGTAGAATTCAGATTACAATTTTGTTGACCACACGAAAAGGGTAGTTGCCGTTCGCTTCTCGCCAGAAAAAGAAGCGTAAATGGCGTCCGCCTCTGGCGCGCCATGCGTAAAATGCCACGCCAAAGTCAATTAGGGCGGAAACTGCACGCCTCTGCGCCATAAGCGCAAATGGCGAGCGCCACTAATAACTATGATACAATTGTGCTTCGAATAGGAGATATGAAAGAAGGAATACAAGTGATCCCTTTTTTTAAGAAGAAATCAATGAATGTAACAAGTGGTTAGTGGTTACGTGGAAGAATGGATGAGGATGACGGAGGTAATAATGATATGTGTATGAAAATGATAGTTTGACATGGGGGTTAGTTGCTAAAGCTGCATACAGGGGCATATGATCCAAATTATGCCACTAGATCATCCTCAAGATAAGAGGGGGCCAGTTCAAGCAAAAGCAAAGGAAAAAGTGTTGAAGAACCTTGGAGGGAAGATTTAGAAGGGACACGTGATGAGGGAAATGTTAAGAAGAATTTCATGGTTCTCAAAGTTGAGGATGATGGTGATGGTGATCTTGGCGTCGACGAACTTCTAAACATGAGACAAACTAAGTCACAAAGTCAGAATATTGTGGTCTTATTAATATAAAATATTAAGCTTGAACTTTAAACCTTTAGTTTATTATGTTTGAATTATGAACTTTTGGTTGTTTATTCAACTTTAAAGTTTTTCTCCAATATTGTTATCATTATTGTGTTTGAGTT